CTTGGGTGATAACGAACACTCATACCAATTTTCGTCAAAATCTGTCAAGAATTGTGCCTTCCAGAGTGTTTACGAGCTAAAAATTGAACGCGTTTGCAAGAACAAGGGCAGTAATTCATACTAAATATTTTTAGATTTTGCTGATTTTCAATAGGCTTTATCCTTGGGTGATTACGAACACTCATACCAAGTTTCGTTAAAATCCTTCAAGAATTATGCCTTCTAGAGTGTTTACAAGCTAAAAATTGAACGCGTTTTCAAGAACAAGGGCAATAATTCATACTTAATATTTTTCGATTTCGCTGATTTTCAATAGGGTCTATCCTTGGGTGATAACGAACACTCATACCAAGTTTCGTCAAAATCTGTCAAGAATTGTGCCTTCTAGAGTGTTTACGAGCTAAAAATTGAACGCGTTTGCAAGAACAAGGGCAATAATTCATACTAAATATTTTTCGATTTCGCTGATTTTCAATAGGGTTTATCCTTGGGTGATTACAAACACTCATACCAAGTTTCATCAAAATCTGTCAAGAATTGTGCCTTCTAGAGTGTTTACGAGCTAAAATTAACAAGGGCAATAATTCATGCTAAATATTTTTCGATTTCGTTGATTTTCAATAGGGTTTATCCTTGGGTGATTGCGAACACACATACTAAGTTTCGTTAAATCCGTCAAGAATTGTGCCCTGTAGAGTGTTTACGAGCAATTGTGGACTGACCGACCGACGGACATGGGTGACGACAATATACGCCCCCCATTTCATGTGGAGGTATAAAAATGGTTAAATTTCAAGATAATTGTCATTTGCAAGGAACTTACATCAGTAAAAGTTACACATTTTTGTAGTAAAAGTATTTGAAACTAAATATCGGTATTACAAGTTAATATCATAAAAAAGTATTTCACAGAGTCATAATGAGTACTATTATTATAACTAATTCAAATCACCTACCTAAATGTGTCATTTAAGGCGCCAATTACGCTCGACTAGTAGCGCTTCGTGTGCAGGTAATTTTTAGTGTGCATTTGGCCACTCGTGGTCATGTGGAAAATATCTATCTTGTTTCATATTTGTTACTTTCTCAGACGACGAACACAACACGCATGGCAGCGCCCAGTGAAGAGGTGACAGAAGCAATCCTTGAGGTTAAATTTGTTGAATTATATCAAGATTATCCCTGCCTTTATAATATCCGATCGCCTGAATTCAAACACAAGGACAAGCGTGACTATCACTGTAGTAATCTGCCATTTTGATTACACATGTGATAGGCTGACATCAGGTATAGTTGAGCAAAAGGCGCGTCATTTAAGGGAGTAGTGTGGTGAGAAAGCAGCAGGCTCCATTGGCGCGCCACATGCTCTCAGTATGCGGGAGCCTTTACCAATCCTCAAATTTTAATCTAGTCTGGCACCTTTAAAAACTACTGGTATATTTAACAAAACACAAGAGAATATTATGGAATATAACACACTTCTTTAATAAGGTTGGGCACATTTCAACAACGTTTCAACACAATATACACGTGTAATGACGTGTGTTATATTCCATAATATTGTCTTGTGTTTTGTTTTATGTGCTCCTCGCTTCTATATGTCGTTCAAATCTTATGCTGGTATATTATTTTAAATTGAATAACAAGAATCAATGAGCAGTATGCAATCGTGCAGTACAAACAGATCAACAAAATATAATAAATAAAATTGTAACCTACATAAACACAATATCAACATAACTGACATATGAGCAAATAATAACATAAATATAATTAATATTATGGGATGTAATTGGAGGGAAGGGCAGTAGTAATCTAAATCATCTACATATTAAATATCACTAGCATAATTAATAAGTAATAAATTATTCTATATCACTATTCTAAATCATTGTGCTATATCTAATCTTTTATTTTAAATCTAATCTTATAATACAAACTGAGGCAGATACATTTTTAAAGCTAAAGTACTGCATAAGTATGGTGTCAAGTGCAGGAATCATTTATAATAGACATAGAAAATTATTGTGTCCAAACCATATCCCATGAAGTTTCGCTTTTATTTTTTCTATTACAATGATTATCCCACACCATACATCATATAGGACATATTTTGTCTTTAAGCATCTTTGTACATCAGTGATTTTTCATAAATTTTCAGTTATCATACAGTCAGATCTTTCATTTCAAGAATCTTTTAATGTTTTATTTAAAGAAATATTATCAATTTAATGAATGTAAATAACTTTGATTTGCCATGTTAATCTTGAGCATAAAATTTCATCATGGCTGTATCATATTTATTTTTGACATTTGTGTCCATTTCTACTCTTACAGCCATCTTGGAAAATAATTATTGGTTGATGCCATGAAATTACAACATAAAGCAGTAATATTATGTAAATGACTTGTAAACATAAGAAATACAAACAATATCCTAGTTTTCAACACAACAAAATCTTTATACAATTGAGTACAACATTTAACAAAGATTTATTTACATGGGACAATATAAAATATGATAAAATGATATGATAATATATAATGATTTAAACATTTCTTATAATAATAATATGTGGTATATGTAATCAACATTCAGGTTGTTTTCTTTCAGTGTATACTTTTTTTTAATAAATTCAAAATTAAATCAAAGTAATAACAAGAATTTTTAAAAAAGGAAACTTATAAAGACGTGAAAATTTCAGTATGATTATGGAATGCTGTCTATACAAGAAATGGTGATAAAAGAAACTTACTGTGTCCAAAAATGTTCGTAGGTGCTCAAATTTTGTTAAATGAGAGTGAGCTGGTTTATGTCCCTACGAATTAAAACACTATTGTAAAGTGAGTGTTTTAGGGGAGTAAATGTAATATATGGCTTTAATAATAATTGTATATGAAACAATAAGATAAATCAGACAAAAAAAAAGGTAGTTGTTATTGGTAAACAACCCAAGTATTTTGATATGAAAACATACTTTGTACAAAAATAAGAATTTGTTTTACGTTACTACAAACGGCAAATCTAAGAAATTTTTTGTCCAAGAATATACATTATTTCACATCCATTACATGTACAAATTGGAAAGAAAATGCTATTATCTAAAAAAATAAGATAATGACTTGCATCATTTACTAATATTGCACTAAAATATTATAGGTCAACTGATCACAAAAGTCTATACACTATACAATTGTTTATTTCTATACAAATACAATACATACTAAAAATTCTTAAAGGGACAGGTGTGCCATTTTAGGGGGTTGATTTAAGTCTTGAATATATGTAAATAATCTACAGTACTAGAAATGTATGAAAATCACATAATTTCATCAAAAATACTTCAAACAAGGAATTTTACTCACTTTTTCTATACATGTCTTTTCTATTTATCACAGAGTATCTTAAATTGACGAGTTGTCATTTTAACATTTAAAAGCAGATAATTGAGGACACATATGGATTTGAAGGCTTAAATTTCAAAGGTGAGCTGTGATTAGCAAGATCTTGTAAAGATAACTTACATTAACTGTAAACCTATACTGATTTTGTTATTTATATTAATTATTTACATTTTCATATTGGAATTGAGTAATCATGTATTTTATACTGAATTATATTACGTAATTGTGGTAATTTTGTGTAAAAGCATACAAGCCATATTATTACTAGTATTAAGATACACAAATGCAGTACTAGTAAATGGAGAGGCCTCAAATGTGTATTAATCAAGACTATAAATACAAAGTAATGTTGAAATATTATATAGAAATTGATATGTTTAGATGAAATATTGCACAACACCCTTAATAATTTCTAAATAAGCTTAGTACATGTATTTGATCTGTTGAGGTCAGATAATATTACTTATACATGTACATGTATTTTTAAGTAATTTATGAGAACGAACATGTGAAAAGATGAATCTTCAATTTGTATGGAATTACCTCTAACCAAGACAGCAAGTAACCAATATTAAAATGAACAATATAGAATATAGTAATATTGAAACACAGATGACTGTCAGACTGTGGTATAAGGAAAGGAATATTAAAGGAATTATTGTGAGATTACAGATTATCTATGTGGTAAACAGGCAAATATAATTATCAATAATACTATATTACATTATATACACATCAAACATCTTATAGGTCTTATTACATTCTACAGGCTCTATTTTATACATCTCAGACTATTCTTAAACCAGATTCTAGCTGTCCTGATAATGTCAATAACATACCATGATAAAAAGTCAAAAAGAAGAAACTTTTCTATTATTGATTCATTTGGGCTCTTCAAACTATGAACAGATCCCTGCAGGAAACAAAATGTATCAATCTCTTAATCTTTGGAACACAAGTGGCAGCTTTACCATACACATACACAAGCAACCGTGACAAAGTGATATCACATAATGTCATACCCTTTAAGTTATATAATTTCAGGGGATATCATATTTTGAGGTATATGATGTTTTTTGACACTCAGTGTTCACAGGATTATGCAAAATAAATCATTAGATTATTTTATTGAAAATAGGTATAAGAGATTTTTGAAAGAATCTGGCACTGTACAAACTTCATCTTTATGGATTGAATTATTAAAGGAAACAAATCAATATACTTTTAATTGTATGAACGGAAGTATTAGTTTTTGTTTATGAATTCGACCCAAGTGATAAAGGCTTTGAAGAAGATATATGCCTAAAGTGAAAAATGAAATTGATTACTTAAAGGGAGGTTAATCCATTATTTCAATTCATAACCATTTTAGATAGGATGTGAGATATGTTATATCTACTATTGAAAAAGTTTATTTTATTATATATCTTTGTAAGGTATATTTGTTTAGTTAAAAATTTAAATTGTCTTAATGAAATGACATATTTTCAGAATCCTAGGTATAAAAATCTAAGGTATCAAGATCAGTCAGAATTAAATGCTGAAATTGCTGATGACTCACATTATTATGCTCTCCTTAATTTTTTTTTTTTTTTATATTTTCTTTATCATAAAACAACGACAAACAATTATTATAGTGCATGAAAAGAATATCACAATGGAATCATTAATATGATCTATCTATATAGCTATCTTGATTATAATATATGTTAGTATCAACCATTGAGCAGCTATCAAATCTTTTCACTATCACAGACCTTTTTTCACCAAACTTCACATTTCTTCTTTGGGTTCATTCTTGATCCAACAGGACAATTATATAACTTGGCAAATATATTAGAATTGGACAGTGTTCCCAAAACCCTACAAAGAAACATATATTTTTGTATAAGCATAGAGAGATGCTGAGATTTGCTCAATAACTGAAATCTGACTAAAACAAATAGCTAAATGGTTTTACAAAACAAAACTTGGAATCATGGTTGATGAAAGACATTTATAATAAAATCATACTATAAAAACTCTGATAAATAATTTTTCCAAAGGTGGTTTCTACCAATGCTGATTTCCCTAAAAGACATATAAAACAATGTAAATCGTACCTGATACTAGCTGGACTATGAGCATCTGTTACTATTTCTAAATGTATAGCTTCTTTAGTACTTGATGAACACCATACCTTTCAATGATATTAAATTCAATCATTTTAAAAACATGTAAATTAAACTGATCATAAAGTCGGGAACTAGATATCACATGCTTGGCCTCTATATAACTCAAAAGATAGCTTGCCAGGAAAGGTAACAAACGCCCACTACCAGTTGTCAGAAATGATAACAAAGCCTGTAGTGGTTTAATATGTGGAACCAATCATCCGATTTTTACTAATTTCAACCTTTACTGAGATCTGATACCAAGTTTCATCAAGCCAAATTAGACGTATTGAATTAATTTAGGGCAATAACTCCAATACTGTTCACCCAATTGTTACCAATCTTGTCCATATATACATGCAATAATGCATACCAAGTTTCATCGAGATCAGATAAAAACTGCACCCTGTATCATGACTACAAGCCAAATTTGTAGGGTTTTTACTAAATCAAGGGCAATGAGTCCAAAACTATTTATCTGATTATGACCAAATTCAAACTTCAAACAATAACTCTGAAACCAGTCATCCGATTATTACCAATTTCGAACTTGACTGAGATCTCATCAATATATACAAACATACCAAGTTTTATCAAGATCAGATAAAAACTGTGGCCTCTATTGTGTATACAACAAATGTGGATGGACGGACGGGGGCGATAGAAATATACGTCCACATTTCCATGTGGGCGTTTAAAGAGATTCCAACCTTAACCTGCCATCTGTCATGTTCTGCCAATTTCTAAATAGTATTATTTAAAATAAAAGAGAACTTACTTGAGCAAATGCTAGAAAAAATAATTGTTTATGTGATAAACCAATAGCTGGTAGTGGGGGTTCTTCACCATGTTTCTCTATCCAGCTAACATATGCCTAAAATGACAATTTATTGTTGTTCAACTGAGATATATTCTCTATATTTTATTTTTTATATCAGCTTGTATTGTTGATTAATGTTTAGAATTTGTACATGTTTTGAATACATGATTTGAATAAGACGTACACAAATATCCTCATTCACCTATATCAATATATTTCATTGAAATTTCTAGATCATTGCCTTTTAATTTGTTCCCCATAAAAGTTTTACACATGAATTCTTACATTAAATTGTTCAGAGTAAGTTAATGAAACACATGAGAATCAAATAATACTTACATTAAATGCAGATTTAAGACCACCATTATCTGCTATATTCTCTCCTAATGTTTGTTTACCACGCATCTAAAAATATAAGCACAGAAGACAATGACATGATATATTTGTGGTGTAGAATAGAAAACTAAATTTACTAATATTTTACTGCCTTTTACACAAAAACTGTTGCATCATATCTATTTACATCAGGTTTTGTAATTTTATTTCAAAATATAGAATGATTATTTAAATGACTTACATTTTTGCCATTAAGTTTATAACTAGAGTACTGGTCTGTCATACATTGAGCACGTTCATTAAACTTTATAACTGAATCATTATTCCACCATGGTCTTAAATTACCATGTTTATCAAATTCTCGACCTAAAAATAATTCATTTCAATTCTCTTCAAATACTAGTTTAACAACTAAATTCTTTGAATGACAAATAACGAAGGTATGATTGCATCATACTGCTTTGTTTTCATATTGGTTATTTACTTTTTTTTTACAGTTGAAAATATTTGATTTTCATTAACATTTTTTTTTGCCAAAATTAATCAACAAATGCTAATTTGATTTCAGATTTATATGGTGTAGACAGTCAATAAGGGCAAATAATTCTGCACAGCCCCAATTGTTGCACAGTTTCGATGTTAGTACTTCCACTGACATCACTTCTGGCAGAATTGAGTTATGTCAAAATAATATATGCATAATGATAGTATCATGAATACAAACTGTTTTATTTTTTAGTTATTTGTTATCCAATTGGCGAATATCAGTATCAATGTTTGAACGTTTGTCTACATTTTGTAGGCAGCCGAATTCTGATTTTCAGTTAAACCTTTTTTTTTATAATCGGAAGTTCTTTATGAAAGTTTGAAGGCAAACATACGACCTTTGCCTTTGATGACCTTGTGTTAATCATGATTTTTGACCTTGACTTTTCTTATCCTTTTTTCAAATTTCATCAACCTTAGTATGTAGTGTATAATTAAATTCAGAATTTGATAGAAATATTGAATTCGAATTGTATGCGTGCGCATTACCAATTTTCCTATTTCTTTTCCAAATTTCTTCAAACATCTATGTATTTGAATAGACAATTTCTGAATTGAATTGGGTTATATTGGAATTTGTGAAACATTTTATGTTTTGATTTATGCATTTCTTTCAACTTCTACAATTTTATTTGATTGATCCTTAAAATTGATCCTCGAACTTTTCGAATCAGCTGCCATCTTGAAATGACCGATTTTTCTTCAAATCTAAATTCAGCCTCTACTTTCTATCATCTATTGTATTTTGATCAAAATTCAATAATTGTGCTGACTGAAGCATAATTTGGTTTTAGCAGAATAAAAATATGCAAAATTTCCCCCATTGTATCAGGTTTGATACACACTGCATGGGTGTGACTTTAGTTTTCTTTTTTTTTCTGCCAAAGAATAAAAGAATAAGGATGCTGGGCTTCCACCCACCAAAATCAATTCTTCTCTAGTATTAAGTAGAGCCAAAAATAATAGAGGGAAATTCCTCATACAGTTAATAAGATAGCCTGCCAGGCATGATAATATACGCCCACTGGCAGCTTTGATTTTGAATAAAAATATTTAGCAGTACAGTAACAATCACCAGTTGAAATATTCAACCTTCAGTCATACACTTCTTTTGAACTCTTTAGGGTGATACTGAATAATATTGAGTATGAGTTATTGCCCTTGTTCTTGAAAACGTGTTCAACGCGGGACTGAATAATAAAACCAAGTTTTGTCAAAATCCAGTAAGAATCATGCCTTTTAGTGCTTAAGAGCCAAATTTGAAAGTGTTTTCAAGAACAAGGGCAATAACTCATACTAAATATTTTTCGTTTTGTCTGATTGTCAATAGGGTTTATCCTTGGGTGATAACAAACACTCATGCCTAGTTTTGTCAAAATTTTGTCCCTTCTAGAGTGTTTACAAGCTAAAAATTTAACAAGGGCAATAACTTATACTAAATATTTTTCAATTCTTCTGATTTTCAATAGGGTTCATCCTTGGGTGATTACGAACACACAAGTTTTGTCAAAATCCGTCAAGAATTGTGTCTTGTAGAGTGTTTACGAGCAATTCTGGACGGACCGACGGACGGAAATATACGCCCCCCATTTCATTTGGGCGTATAAAAATTAGATACTATTTATGATAAAAAAATGGATGTAAAATAAAGGACAAGAAATGAACTTTGAACTAGAAAGAGCACAATTGACTGAGTCAATGGTAATATTTGTAATTTCTTGTATTAGATGAGGTTATATTTGAGAGGTTTTATAGCACAGTGGGTTAAGCACATCGGTTCTTTACATGATGTCATCTGCTTGGTTAAGTCGAGGAAATGAGACTGTGGGTTCTGATCTTGATCGGTGTGTGAGTATTACAACCCTGAAATCATCTTCACTCATAATTCCATTCGACTCAGCTGTAAATGGGTATGGATAATCTAGGAAAGATCAATACAAAGAGGTTTGGCCAAAGACCAGCTGGAAGAGAGGATCCCCGTGTAACCTTAAGTTGTAATTCTTGTAAAACATATTTGTTTCTTTCTTACAATGTGAGAGAGATACAGTAGTAGTTTCACAAAAATCTAAAGAATAGTGCTTAATAAATCAATTGTACAGTGACATAGTTTCAGATTCTGTTTTAATATTTCTATTTTTTAATCAATTTTTTTTTATTGCAGTTTATAACATGAAATGCTCATAGTACTAACAAATTTCAACATGAATAGTAAAGTTTGTCAAGTTCTCTTTTTTTTTTATGTCTAGCAGTAGCTAAAAGCAGAAACAAAATAGGTAATCAAAAGGAATAAGCAGTGAAAAGAAAACCCAAAATTTTAGTAAGGTAGTGAGCAGTTAATAATAACAAAAAATAGTTAATCCCCATCACCTTGATCATCAAATCCATGTGTTAACTCATGTCCCATCACCACACCCATAGCTCCAAAATTGAGCGACCTGTTAATAGAATATATTATAAGCATTAACATGTACAAGTTAATCTGTTAATTCAAACAACTGAGCAACAGTGATGACAGTTGTTAAAATCAAAAATTCCAGTACTACAGCATTTTTTTTATATATATTTTTACATGCCCTTGGATGTTAATCATATATGTGCAATGCTTGAAATTAAACAGAGATGCTACCGATGTCACTGTCAAAGCTTCCAAGGTAACACTGGATGAAGATGCTTAAAAACACTTGGCATGAATAAGCGGAATGCATATAAATAAAGAATACCCATAAAATAGTAAGAAGGTCTACTCTCATTATATAATACATTCACCTCAGCAACACACTTACAACTAGTAGGACAGAGATTTTATGCTCAACTAATGCAGGTTTAATAAATATCCATATCTAATAAATAAGGATAAAAAATTGCTTGGGAGAAAAAAGTGATTTGAAACATTGTTTATAATCTTGAATAAGAAATGTATAACTTTAAACAATACTTAATAGTCAATAACCTTTGATAAGAGGAAAAAATTGAAAAACTTACTTGGGGAATGTTTGATCATAGAATGGTGCTTGTAAAATACCAGCAGGAAAAACAATTTCATTTTTAGAAGGCGTATAGTATGCATTAATAGTTGCAGGTGTCATACTCCATCTATGAATACAAAAAACATTGAGCTCGAAACTGTATTGTTATCATTAATTTTTAAGTTATTTATATTCTTTTAAAATTTCCAGAAAGCAGACTCCAACCAGAAGTGGTGTAGTGGAAAACACCTAAATCAGTAAATCCGAAATCAGTAATAAAACAATTATCTATTGTTCAATTTTCTTCAACTTTTTTTGTGTGTATTCTTAAACAACCAAAAAGACTATTGATTTGTACCATCATCATCTTTGTTTTGCACCTTTGCCATGTATGCAAATTCTAAACTGTCATCTTGAAAAATGAAAAAAACTACAATTTTAATCCCTTCAGAAGCCTTTTTTTGAATTTTGGCTTTGTCTTTGAATAATTTCCTGTCAAAGTTTTTCTGACAGGCCACATTTCAAGTAGTGATAACCTTTGACCATGAGTTCCACAACCTTCATCTTTCTATTTCAAGATCTCTGTTACCTAGATTGCTCTTTGAGATCTTGGTACATTACCTTTTTATTCCTGACCCTGGCAATTTGCAAATATTGCCAATATTTAGAGGATTATATCATATGAACTTAGGCCCTTTCAACATTTAGATTGATGTTATTGTTTTGTGCTTGTCATAAGCTTTCTAATAATGTTAACTTTCAGAAATATGCATTATTGAATATAGGCGATTTTGATATTTATATGGATGCTGGATTGAGTTCTATTTAATCAAGTGAAAAAATTGTCAGATTTATAATGTGAAACTTTACAGCTTAAGATAAATATATAAAATAATATGCATTATTAAAGTTTTGGAAATAGTTAAGAAGTTCATATAACCAGGTCAGCTTGTCATAGAGGGTTGATGTGAAAAAAGATGATTTTAATATTTATGCAGACTCTTGTTCTAATTAACTCAGCAGATTATAATGTGCAATTTCAGAGCTTTAAATAGATATATAAGATAATATGCAAAAAATTATATTAAATATAAGAGACCATAAAGATTATGTAACATTGTAACAGGTCATGAAGTCAAAGCGGGTTAATTTCACACCTTTGTAGTTTTGGGTATTAATATTAAGTAAACAAAGCAAAAGAAAACAATTTTGAAGGTTATAATACATTTAAACCTAAGACCTAAAGAAAGCTTGCGTTGCAAGGTAACATACGCCCACTGGCAGCTGTCAGAAATAATAAAACAGTCTTTAGTGACTAAAGTACGAATTTTCTCATATTGAAGAAATTATTCATGATGAATAATTCCACAAAATTTTTTAAAATCAATATCAATAACCCAAATACAACAAACAATTAAATCACACAGCTCTAATCAAGGGAAAAAAACAACTTTTGATGCGTGTTTACAAAGTCAAGGGCAATAACTCAAAAAATGTTCATCAAAAATATCTCGTTAGAACTTGTCGAGATCTTATCAATTTCAATGATCACACCAAGTTTCATCAGAATCGGTTGGAAACTGTAGCTTCTATTGTGCTCACAAACAAATTTTGACGCGTATTTCGTAAGTTAATGGCAATAACTCAAAAAAGTTTCATCGAAAATGCGTCAAGTTAGAACTTGTCCGAGATCTTATCAATTCCAATGATCACAATAAGTTTCATCAAAATCGGTTGAAAACTGTGGCGTCACTCCTGCTCACAAACTATTTTTAACAAATTTCGACGCATTTTAACAAAGTCAAGGGCAATAACTCAAAAACCGTTCATCGAAAATGCGTCAAGTTAGAACTTGTCCGAGATCTTATCAATTCCAATGATCACACCAAGTTTCATCAGAATCGGTTAAAACTGTAGCTTCAATCCTACTCACGAACTATTTTAAACAAATATTGACGCGTTTTTTTAAAGTCAAGGGCAATAACTCAAAAACCGTTCATCGAGAATGCGTCAAATTAGAACTTGTCAGAGATCTTATCAATTCCAATGATCACACCAAGTTTCATCAGAATCGGTTGAAAACTGTAACGTCAATCCTGCTCACGAACTATTTTTAACAAATTTTGACGTGTTTTTACTAAGTCAAGGGCAATAACTCAAAATCCGTTCATTGAAAATGCATCAAATTAGAACTTGTCCGAGATCTTATCAATTCCAATGATCACACCAAGTTTCATCAGAATCGGTTGAAAACTGTAGCATCAATCCTGCTCACAAACTATTTTTAACAAATTTCAACACGTTTTAACAAAGTCAAGGGCAATAACTCAAGAACCGTTCATCAGAATGGTGTCAAGTTAGAACTTATCTGAGATCTTATCAATTCCAATGATCACACCAAGTTTCATCAGAATCGGTTGAAAACTGTAGCTTCAATCCTGCTCACGAACTATTTTTAACAAATTTCAACACGTTTTAACAAAGTCAAGGGCAATAACTCAAAAACCGTTCATCAGAATGGCGTCAAGTTAGAACTTATCCGAGATCTTATCAATTCCAATGATCACACCAAGTTTCATCAGAATCGGTTGAAAACTGTAGCTTCAATCCTGCTCACGAACTATTTTTAACAAATTTCAACACGTTTTAACAAAGTCAAGGGTAATAACTCAAAAACTGTTCATCGAAAATGCGTCAAGTTAGAACTTGTCTGAGATCTTATCAATTCCAATGATCACACCAAGTTTCATCAGAATCAGTTGAAAACTGTAGCTTCAATCCTGCTCACGAACTATTTTAAACAAATATTGACGCGTTTTTACAAAGTCAAGGGCAATAACTCAAAAACCGTTCATCGAGAATGCGTCAAATTAGAACTTGTCAGAGATCTTATCAATTCCAATGATCACACCAAGTTTCATCAGAATCGGTTGAAAACTGTAGCGTCAATCCTGCTCACGAACTATTTTTAACAAATTTTGACGCGTTTTTACTGAGTCAAGGGCAATAACTCAAAATCCGTTCATTGAAAATGCGTCAAATTAGAACTTGTCCGAGATCTTATCAATTCCAATGATCACACCAAGTTTCATCAGAATCGGTTGAAAACTGTAGCGTCAATCCTGCTCACAAACTATTTTTAACAAATTTCAACACGTTTTAACAAAGTCAAGGGCAATGACTCAAAAACCGTTCATCAGAATGGCGTCAAGTTAGAACTTATCCGAGATCTTATCAATTCCAATGATTACACCATGTTTCATCAGAATCGGTTGAAAACTGTAGCTTCAATCCTGCTCACGTACTATTTTTAACAAATTTCAACACGTTTTAACAAAGTCAAGGGCAATAACTCAAAAACCGTTCATCGAAAATGCGTCAAGTTAGAACTTGTCCGAGATCTTATCAATTCCAATGATCACACCAAGTTTCATCAGAATCGGTTGAAAACTGTAGCTTCAATCCTGCTCACGAACTATTTTTAACAAATTTCAACACGTTTTAACAAAGTCAAGGGCAATAACTCAAAAACTGTTCATCGAAAATGCGTCAAGTTAGAACTTGTCCGAGATCTTATCAATTCCCATGATCACACCAAGTTTCATCAAAATCAGATGAAAACTGTAGTTTCAATTGTGCCCACAACATATGCTGACAAACGGACGGACTGTCAGACAGGGTCGACGGCTGTAAACGAACACATTTTCATGTGGACATATAAAAATTCACATTTTAAAATATTGACAGTCTTTTCCTATTCACCTTTTAAGAAATAAAACCATAGGGAATGTAAACTAGCTTGGAAGCTGGCAGATCTGTGTCAAACAGGTCTAGTTACAAATTGCAGTTGATAAATATAAATTGCAATTGTCCAATACAAATTACAGTTGTCAAATATATCTGTCAAATACAATTGCAGGATAATTTAGAATGTTCCTGTTCCCCACATGGTGCCAAAATACAGTCTAATAGATTTATAAATAAGGAAAAATCCTATGGACATTGTAGAATCAGAGATGCCAACATTTGATTTTGAGTAATGAATATGTGTCGCTAGACACTAAGTCTGCAAAGTAGCTGCTTAAGCACATAGTATTGCTGTCTCTGTTAAACTCCCCCTTTTGAAATCTGTCAGTCTGCGCCATTACTATATTTTACTTGTCCCCCCATATAATGTATTTTATTTTGGACTTAATGGTTTGTGATCCATTTAAATCACACATCAACCAAAAGATAAGACACATCTATCAGTAGGCCTATCTATTCTTATATCTCAATTCATCTAATATCGATCGGCATAAATGGGGAGGAGACACATTTATGGCCATGTAGAACATTGGTGAACTTGTCTGAAATGCAAGTCAAGTATCATTTTCAGTGCAGGCCTTTTTTCTCACCACTAGCTGAAATTTGTAAAAATTGGTAAAAATATCGGAAAATTTTTATTGTTCACAAATAGAAGTAACATTAGCCTTGTGTTTTCTTGTTCCAGACATCTAAAATATAATTTGATGCTTCTCTATTTTTGAAAACAAATATCAAACTGGTTGTCAAGGATTTGGAAGTATTCACTTAGAAAGCATCGATGGACAAATCAAAATGATTTTGTGCAAATCCAACAAGCCTCGTCAGTTTGTGTTTATGTGAGTCTTGACGTAAATGGCATTTGCAGATGCTTAAGTTTTTAGGCCTGCAGTGGTAGGTAATTCAAGCATCTGATTGATTTATGATTTAAGGGGATTCTATTGGTTTAAATTGTAGTCGCGATTATATAAATAACAGCACAATGACTAAATGCTAAAGATTTGATAACTGCAAATGACCTTATATTAATCATAAATATTCTTTAATTGAATTTAAAAACGATTAGGATTCAGTTTTAATGCTGCTGATGAGGATATCGTAATGAAATTACACCAAAATCATAACGTCATAATTTAACTGAAATATCTTAATCATTATGCCGAAATCGGAATGGTTGGCATCTCTGTAGAATAACTGGAAATGTCTTGATGAACTCCTTCATCTTTTTTTTTTTTTTTTTTTTTAAATATAGCCAAATTTAAGTGAAATTATGGTTTTAAACATCTTGAAAATTCTCAAAAACAAAAGTCCCAAAAGTGGGTTAGTACAACTCCAATACAACATTTTCAGACTAGCCCTACACATGTTGTATATATATCACGACCGAGAATGGGCAGGGCTTAAATCTTTTTTTTTTCAATTTAAGAAAGTATTTTGTTGCGAAACATAAATAAAGGGGAAGTAATTGAAGGTAAGAAATATTACAGAAATTATGATTTACCATCAAAAGTAAGAGACAATAGACTAGTACTTACGAGTTTTTCTTTGGTGGTTTCCTCAATGTTTTAAGGTTTTCAGCCAGTTGGTATTTCAAATTTCTGACATTATTATAAAAATATTCAGATTCATTTATAAATAACTGAAAAGAAATAGTTATGGAATCTAACACCCAATATCCAATTTTTTTTTTCATTGATTATAATCAATAACTTAACAAAGATATAGTCATATCAATTATGTTTCAATCGATTTGAAACTTAAAGGAGTTTTCATGAAAAAGAGACAATCAATTTTCTAATATTATTTCTTTTAAACTGGTTTTTTAGTTTTTAATAAAATGATTTCAATTGGCAATTCAATATTCTGCTTTGTAATCAATAAAAGTTGTCAAGAGTTTATGTCAAACCTTATAAATTTCTAATATTTGGAATTCAGCCAGAATAAACAGAGTATTGTACAGAACAAAGTTCAACATAATAGAGATCATGCAGAAATTTCTTCATGAACAAGAAAAAGGGCAATAACTCATACTAATTTTTTTTTCAATTATTCTGATTTTCAATAGGGTATATCTTTGAGTGAGAGCAAACACTCAAACCAAGTCCCATCAAAATCTGTCAAGAATTGCACCTTCTAGAGTGTTTACGAGCATTTCAAGAACAAGGGCAATAACTCATGCTAAATATTTTTCAATTTTTCTTATTTTCAATAGGGTTCCTTACAAACAATCTAAGTTTTGTCAAAATCAGTCAAGAATTGTGCCTTCTAGAATGTTTATTAGCAATTGTGGAGGGACTGACTGATGTGTAGACGGACAGATCAACATGGGAGAAGACAATCATTCCATGTGGGTGTATAATCAAAATCAGGGAATTCTGCGCTGTCAAATATATTTTGAAAGTAAAATCCACAATTTTGTCAATTTACATACACATTAAATACTTACCTTTTCATATTCTTTATCTAACTGAGTAGCATTCAATATATATTGAGGAAAACCAATCATATTTACTACGGCATCAGCCTAAAATATGACTTACTGTTTTCAAATATACAATATTACAGACAAATATGATGTGGATTTACAAAGACAGAGATTATGAAACCAAGTGGATATCTGAGCATAGAATGAAATGTAATAAACATTTTATCAAACCCAGTTCAAAATTCTTTCTAATAATCTTGGTTGAAATAAAAACAAACCTTATCTATAGCAGCTAGTCTTGTCTTTGCATCCATCCAAGTTAATTTAGGTAAATTCTTTTTGAATGCTGTTTTTATCATTTCTATCATTTCCTCTGCCTTATATCTGCTTTCACCATGTAGAGTTTCCCTAACAAACATAGCTCCTAGAGCAAACCCTAATACACTATTTGTATCAGTAATACAGGTACGCCATAAGTCATCTTTACCACTCACACCTATACAAACATAATTCTGACATGTATCTTTCATCAATATATTCATATCTCAATGTCATTATGTATATGATGTTATATGAAAACATAAATACAATAGTACCTAAAATAGTGATGAGATTTATAGCAATGAATTCACTAAAAGGGTGCTGCCATGTTTGTTTTCTTGTTTTATCACGCATCAGACTTCTTCTATCCTACTACGAGGATTGACCCATTCTTTTCTTTTGTCACAGTTGCCGTAGACAAAAGGCAACTGGTTGATAAAACCTAAGTATTACCAAATTCCACTAGAAATATCCGACAGTGATCAAAACATACACAAGAATGCTAACTTGATTCATACGAATTCTTATATTTTTCAATCAGGAATCAATATTTTTTGCGGTTTTTTGGGAGGGGCAAAATAAAATTACTACTTTAGCGGAAGTCTTGGATCCCTGTAATAGCTGACTGCATTTTCCCATCATCAAATGCTCAAAAAACCACTATAAATCTCTACTAATAATAGAAGGTTTCTTTTAATGAAAAATCAAAAGTCCCCTATAGGCCCTGTGTTCAGTTCAGTTATAAACTGAAGGCTGATACTGAATGCATGTCTTTGACACTATTGCCCATACTGCCCTAAATATCACACTCATACCTTCAATAGCTTCTGAATACTGTTCTTTAGCATCTCTAAACTTCTTGGATAATAATGGAGCAAAAGCCTTTATAACATGCCATACAAGATAATTCTTCACAATTCTAGACAGATAATATCAATCAATATAAATCAATTCATTACATCCAGAAATAATATTACTTAATTGTTTTACAATTTCATTGTATTCCATCAACCTGGACAACATCAAAAAGTGATCATAAAGAGACCCGGAAATAGCAAATCTCACTCACAAAATTCTCATGAATAAGTAACATTAATAGATGTAATAGATAATGGCCAAATCTCGTCAAAATCTATCAAAATATTTCATTTCTATTCTGTTCACAAAACAGATTTTGCTGCATGTTTACAAAGTCATGGGCAATAACCAACAAATCACAAAATCTTAATTTCAATGGTATCCTGTATTTTGAAAATTGATTGAACAGTGTAGCTTCCACTGTGGCCAAATCATAAACCTACCTCTGTCCATTTTCATCCTGTAATGATTTCTTTAAGATATCTGTTAGAGCACTAATATAGGTTGGAGCATAAAACACCACCTCTTCTTTATTGGTAACCGAGATATTCACTATACCTAATAATCTGTTAAAATAACTTAACCAATTTATCTAAAATAAAACAGGAATTTCAGTGAATATGATATGCAGTTATGTTTGTTTACTTTTGGGAGGCACTAAGAAAACTTAATACTAAATGATCTATTACTCTGTGCTTTAATCTTATCTGTAACGTAACAGGACGTATCCTTTTAATTAACATTTTCATATATGCAAATATTGGTACTCTTTCAAGGCATTAACGTTTAATTCACAATTTGCCAATATTCTTACAAGAGTTCTAAATTCCAAAATCATTCCATTATTGTTTGAATCTAAGTAGTTCAAACAAAGACATCATTCCTTTTAATTATGATGAAAAACACAAGTTCTATAATATGGACAAAACAACTTGTGAACACTTAACAAAAAACATGTTGATAAACAAAGAATAACAAAAATTTACTCACCATTGGAAATTTCTTTTGAATTTCAGCTATTGTCATTTTATGATAAAGTTTTTGAATGCCACGTCTTTCAGAATTTGGTACTGTGGCCTTAAAGAAATTAATTTATTCTAATATGACATCAATAAATCCAATCTTTGCAACACTTCAATTTAAACTTAAATCAGAAATGTGTCTGAAAATACACTAAAATGGACGAGTTCTAAGAATCTCTCAATCATTTTTTTCAAATTTCTGATTGCACTATGGAATATTTGTTCAACATCAAGCAACTCTTTGATTGAGCAGAACCATCTGAACTCAAAAGATAATATTTTAGTAGCCCACTTACATTAGCCAATAAAGTTTCAAATTTGATAACTTCTATCATATTTTCAGTAGTTTCATTGCGTAAACTTCCATCACCATTGGCTAATAATAACTGTACATCTACCATATATTTCAAATAAGCCTTTAATACTTTATCTTCTGTTATAGATTTATTGAGATAATAATCTCTTTCTGGTAATCCTAGTCCAGCTTGATCTACCTGAAAAGTCATGTTAAAACGTAATGCTCAACATTTTTAGGCACCAAAAATATTTATCGGAAATTTAGTGAAATCTTGTGTTTTACTTCTTTCTCTATTAATAATTCATAATTATTTAACCATTGTGTTTTTAATTTAATCTCGTTCAGATTTAGTTTTGTGGATAGGACAAAAGTTAATGATTTCACAAGTATACACCAAGCTAAATGGACAAATTAAAAAACAAGTTAAAAACAAATTCAATTTCAATTTTCAGCATAAGCATAATGCCCCTTTAAAAACAATTACTTTCTCATAGGATATGATTGTTGTCCTCTATTTCAAGTTGTGTCTCAACTTGGAAAGACACCAGCAAAACCATTTAAACTGAGCTGTTAATTAATATAGTTTTGAGCAGCACAACTTTATTGTAAGAACATCAACATCATATTATTTAATGATTATAATATTCTTATTAATATAATTCAATATTTCTATTCTACTCTATTTCACTCTACAAATGTATTGAGCACTATTTTAACAGTGAAAATATTTTATTATTGTATTATTAATATAATATGTATTTTTGATTATATTCCAAATCATACACACATATTAATTTATATCATAATAATTAAATCACGATTCCGTTTACACAGTATCATGCAATTTGATTGGATAATAGTGGTCACGTGAATTCGGTTTATATCTGTGTAATAAACGGAATGTAAATATAAGCTCCGCCCCTTGACGGACTACTTTTATCATTGAGATTACTTGACGTGGCCACTACACACTGTCGATGTCTTTCCTTCGAAATCTACACTTCACTGAATGATTACGGTATTTTGCCCAAATTCCCTCGAATGTGCACTCTCCAAATATCAACAAAATTATGATTTTTGAACTTATTTCGAACTCGTCTGTCAATAATTGAATTTTAAATTGGGCTGGTCCATCAACTTTCAAGCAGTAGACAGTAGACTATAAATAGGTGATCTACTTATTGCTGATTGGCTGTTCTCTACGATGTTTCTATTGTTAGTATCAGTTCATTATTGTTGTGTTAAAATGTTCAGTTCATTCCATAAATAATCATTCCATGTTTTTTACTTACATGTAAAATATTTTTGGAGGAATTCTTATCATCTTCCCCTACCCAGACATTAAATAGAGCTGTAATATCTAATAGATGAATTTCTTCTAATAAGTCTTGGATCTGTTGGCTGGGAGGTTGATCATTATTTTCTTTAATAATCATATCAAGTACGCGTTTTAATGGTTTGGCCCCCAGTCTTTCTATAATCTTCTTATTGTCAATACATGATTTATAATACCTCTTAGCTTTACGTTCTGCTAAACTACCCATATTTGCTTCAGGCTGCTCTGAAATTCACAAATAAATTAGAAGTGAAGCCAAAATCATCAAGTTAGATCAGATATAAATAAATTTAAAAAAAATTGCTCTCAAAATCCTCAGTACCACAAACTAAAAGAAAAGCCAGCATCATCAAGTTAGATCAGTATCTCTACTTAATTACTTATGATTGATATACTTACTCATGTGAAAAGTTGATTACTACTGTACTCAGTGCCTCAAACTTTAAGATGATAAAATAAGAAACTACTCAGTGCCTCAAACTTCAAGATGTTATTATTAGAAACTACTCAGTGCCTCAAACCTCAAGATGTTATTATCAGTAACTACTCAGTGCCTCAAACCTCAAGATGTTATCATCAATAACTACTCAGTGCCTCAAACCTCAACATGTTATTATCAGTAACTACTCAGTGCCTCAAACCTCATGATGTTATTATCAGTAACTACTCAGTGCCTCAAACCTCAAGATGTTATCATCAATAACTACTCAGTGCCTCAAACTTCAAGATGTTATTATTAGAAACTACTCAGTGCCTCAAACCTCATGATGTTATTATCAGTAACTACTCAGTGCCTCAAACCTCAAGATGTTATCATCAATAACTACTCAGTGCCTCAAACCTCAACATGTTATTATCAGTAACTACTCAGTGCCTCAAACCTCAAGATGTTATCATCAATAACTACTCATTGCCTCAAACCTCAACATGTTGTTATCAGTAACTACTCAGTGCCTCAAACCTCAACATGTTATTATCAGTGACTACTCAGTGCCTCAAACCTCAACATGTTATCATCAGAAACTACTCAGTGCCTCAAACCTCAACATGTTATTATCAGTAACTACTCAGTACCTCAAACCTCAACATGTTATTATCAGAAACTAATAAAATATGAGATGTTAATTATAATTGCTCATCAAATTTGAAATGTAACAGCTTACCTATGAGATTTTTCATGACAAGTTGGTTCTTCTGCCACAAGTCCTCAAATGTTCCCCAATGTGAATGGCCTGATGGTATTGGATGAGCTTTAATCCAGCCACCACATGCATATTTAAAATAATCCTCACATGGATTAACAGTTCTATCCATAGACGATAATAAATTACTGGCTACAATAACACAATTGGGTGTTAAACAGACTGTATCTGAAATAATGAAGTCAATATGACCAGCATATAAAAACTGAAAGGATTTTCATAAAATTTCATAATAAAATTGATACCAATCAATTGATTTTTTTTTTAAGGTTATTTATCAGTTTTATCATACAGACAGTGGTAAAACCTTAAAGGAAAACCTAACTTTCTTTTAAATTCTGAATATTTCCTTGTTCCAAGCTTTATTACTCTGCAGATCGAGATCGATTTTTTTCTTAGAATTTGCTGGACTTTGGACAATTAAGCTTTGCTCTCTTTGTACTATGATCTTTGGCCGAATGATCTCTACGGTGTAAGATGCATACCTGATGTGAAGCAAAACTGTGATTGCTGCCTTTGGAATGGTTTTGTTTTTGGGGGGGTCAGGCCATTGACATCAAACAATACATTTTTATTTGAAATCTAAAGCTTTGACCAATGTTGTATATGAAATGACAGGCAAATCTTATTGCTCTATATGGGGTTAGGTATATAGCCTTGATGGGCAGAAATGACTTCAAACTCTTCACAAGATAACTTTGAATACTAAAATTCCCAATGATAGACCCTAAATAATTATAGACAAATATTTCAAGTTTCCTTTTAGAAAAAGTTCCTACATCACACAGCAATTATTTATACAGCCCTATAGACAATAACATCACTTTCTACTTATTTTTAGACTCAATTTACTGTAAATATAGGTTTCAAACAAACCTATAAATAACAGCCCTGATACATATCAATTTTCATTTAATTGATCCGAGTTTATTCCACTAAGACAGAGTCTCTTTCTTTTATCTTAAATCAATGAGTAGAAAGAAATAAAACTTGTATTATTTTTTATCTTTAAAGGGAGAATGTCTAAATATTTGTTTTACAAGGTGATAAAATGACAATTTTTAGCTGTTGCAAGTACTCTTTAGAATTATAATCCAATGTCCTGTTTTACTACTTTTGAACAAAATTGTTTCAGGAAAGGTTCGTACTAATGTTATTACCCATAATGACATATTTAGTAATAACCGAACAATGGTATTATAAATATCAAAGAAGTGTTGAGAGTCTAAATCCCACAGAAATTATTCTTGAAATTCAATTCTGAAAAGTGATATGGAAGCAGAAATTGATCAATTTTGAAGAAAATATTTCTTTAATCAATGGTAATCAAGTTCAATTTTTTTTGTCAGCAAGAAAAAAAAACATGATGAATAACAAAATTTGCATCAGGACTGTCATGAATTCAAGAGATGATTAACACAAAAGTTAATAGCTTATAATCTAGAACATAAATAAAAGCTTACCTGTTTTATTTTGCGTAGTAAGATATTTGACTTCCTTTTCCTTCACAGCTAATAATGAGGCGATAATTATCAATATAACTAATAATATTACTAATAGTACTAATAATATCCTCTCTAACGCTGACTTCCTCTGCCATACATTTACCCCTCCTTTAAACATAATCCCTGGAGCAAACTCCATTTGAGTTGGAGTACTACCACCATTAGATAGAGTTTCTTCATCATCAAAATTAGTCCGTTTGTACCTTTGACCAGACATCTGTAAAAAAAAGATAGATAATATTTGATTATCACATAATGATTTGTTATTAAACTAAGCTTATAATTAAAGCAGTCATCTATTTCTTTAAGAACTCACGAAAAATAATTTCACAAGTCATCGTCTATTGAACTACATGTACAAATCTGTTCAGACATTCAATGCTTCCTTAAAACACATGTAACTGTAATCCTACGATTTCAGATTTCAAACCATCATTGGAAAAGAAAAGAGTTTTGTGAGATAAATTGTAAAATTTCTGGGTGAATTATTTTTGAGACAACCGTTCAATACTTCTTCTACAATAGCATCAATCTGTGATAACTTACAAAATAAATACATCTGAGATTTAAAAATACAAATAAACCACTCTAGTTTGAATACTTTACTTTTCAACCCACACACAACATTGCTCATTATGTAAATTACTTGTCTAATAGACTATTTTATCTTACTGATTTACTATTGAACCAATGATGTAGAAAACAAGGAGTGAGTATGTCATCTGACTGAAACTTTATTAAGGAAGACTGTCCTCTGTTATAATCAAAAACGTATAATAGGTAAAGACTTCCTGCTCAAAATTTATTCAATCCTACCATCAAAATGGCAGGAGCCTGAAACAGTGACTTTTAGTTGTTTATTTTTTTGATCAGTTGGTTATTAAATAACTGTCAACGACTATAATTAGTTGTAAACTAGTGAGTTGTATTCCCTGCTAGGGTACTCAACCTCAGTATTGACACTGGCTACACTATTTTAATTGTTAAAAAGCAAGATTGTTGATGATCTAATTTCAGTAACTCAGTCTGAACAAAGGAACAATGAAATAATTTACAAATACAGAGTTAATAAGGTCACTCCCACATTACATCATTCATTTCCTTTCTCTAGGAGTTTATCAATATATTTTAGTGTTGATTATCAAGAGACTAATGTCACAAGGTAAATGACATGAAAGACATAGTTGTTGAATGAATAATCTAGTATTTGTATCTGAATCAGTGTTTTTTTCATTAAGACAGTTTTTCCATTTCCTGCTTTAAAACATTAATTTTTTTAACAGATTGATAAAGGTCGGTAACATTACATAATGAAAGCCAGTCAATTGCTGATTAATTCTATGTTAAACTCTGACATTTGCAATTAAGTAGAAAAAAAGTGATACCAATATAACAAGTTAAATTTAGGAACAAAAATAGAAAAGTAAAATGGAAGTGTGAAGAATGCTGATGACATAATATTAATCTTCCTGGTATTGATTGTAGAATCATTCTGCCGCAGCGTGAGTGAGTAGAAGAAAATGGTTCAGTAGAAGACAATAACACAACTTGAATTGCGTAGGTGGAATAGAGGTAGAGTTGTCTGAAACCAATTCGCTGGGGTTAAACTATTCACCACTAAAGGTTTATATTTTTTTTAAATGAAATACCTGCAGACTTGACTCCAGTAAATTGTAATCATACATACTTTTTATACTTTTGGTTTATGTATTTACAAAAAGAAGTGTGTTAGTTCTAATGTTACTTCATATACATTTATACCAATACCAATATCATTTTAAAACAATCAGTTTTTATTCAAATTTAAGGTGGGAATCATAATATCAGCAATATTGCTTGCTATATATATATTGTGACCTATTACTCCTAATAGAAATGTGAAATAGACATGTAGTTATAAATGACTTTATATTGATTACCAATCATCACACCAACCATTTTCACTTCTTACACAACAAAAACCTCTCAAATCTACAAGACAATTCTAAATGACATTGATCTATCAGCTTAGTCTAGAAAAAAATACCAACTTTTAATAGCATTTCACCATCAATTTAACAAATCCTGTTCTCCGGTAGTTATTTTATATTTTTTTTTATTAAATATGTACAATGCATTGTAGCATTTCAAAATTGCATTTGTGACAGAAATATTCAAGTGTCATATGAATGGGAATATAAACAAATTGAGGATTACATGTTAAAGGAAAGGACCAAATGAATGTGAAAAAGTAGAAGAACATTTCTCACTTACAACTAAGAGCAGTCCATCAATTTAAGATACATTATAAGAGGTACATGCAGTATAAATGAAGCCTTTACTACCAAATCTCCAAAAACTGAATTTGCAAAGATAGTAGAATTAGCTGTGAACTAATTATTAGTTGCATTAATTCCAGACAGAAAGGTCAGTAATATCAGAACAATATACCATGTTATAAGAAAGGCAGATATAAAACAGGCTAATCATTCAATAAATAATCAATCACATAGAATTAACAATCTCTAGTCAGACATATTTTTACTTCTACCTTCTACTTCATCAACATTACAAACACATTCAACAACAATTTTAATATTATCCTATAAATATATAATACAATTCCCATTTTGTTACATCTTAATTACACATGTCAATCTCTTTTCTAACATTCTGGGACTTCTCACCTCCATCAACATTTTGACCTCAATAATTCTGGAATATTAAAAACCAACATTTTTCAGAATCAATACAATTGAGAATCAATAAGATAATGTCATAATCAAAGCTTTAGCTAGTTAATCATACATTTCATTAACTAAACTACACTTGACTTCCATTCCAGACATTTTTTGATTAGATATATTTGAAAAGAATGAAATTTTCATCTGACATATTTTTATATAAAGTATTTTTGACTTACAGAAAACGATTCACACCTAAATGTTGTCCAATCACCAGTGTAAATATTTAATATGAAGAGTTGTAAAAACAGAGATTAATCAGTTGGAGAGGATCAACCTAAGATCTGTCTGGGGTAATATAGACCATATGCTTTGTAAAAAATCTACTTCATCCATTTCAACTCTTTGTTTTAGGGATTCCACAGACTACAGCAATGAAGGAAACCCCAATTTGTCTGCCAAGTGTTGATGGCAGTGCTGATACCAAAGAAGTTCTGAAGAACAAGAAGACCTTCTACATCAAACACACTCGGATTCATACCTTGCTTTTAGAGGACGAACGGGACCTTAACGCTCCTTTTACCCTTGATGAGCTGAAGACAGCACCACTGGTGAAGATAATATCAAGTAGAGCATGTTAAAGGAGTTACCAATAGAAGCATCTACAGTTCTACTGGCATTATTCAACAAATCATGGTATAATGGTACAAATCGCAGAAGGATAAAAGTCTATGCAGCCCATACAGGCCTTTTTCTCTGACATCAAGCAAGCGGTCATCAATCTATTGAGAGAGCACCAGCTCGATCAAGTTACGATCCTTGAAGGATGCCTATCGGCTACTCTATTTTAGAAGGTTACCAACCCAACAGTCAACCCTAAGCTGATCCGGAGTACCAACAAGCACGAGAACCCAGTAGGAGCAAGAGCTCACGCTCTTGATCTTATTGATTCCGTGCCCGCTGACCATTTGATGATGTAGTACAGCAACAGGTTACGGTTTGTGCATCCCAGTAAAAGGCATCTGCATTGGTAAAAGGATCCCCACGCACTGTTCAGTATTCACAGCAGAACTTCTTACCATTAGGGACGCGGCAGTCTCCAATCAATTTCTCTTACCTCTCCTAAATGCAGGTCAGAAGTTACCGCCGAAAAAAGAAGAATGATCCACAACTACCAAACCAACAACAACCACCAGATCAAATGTATGGGTCCCATCGCACGTCTCCATTCCTGGCAATGATCAAGCAGACCGTTGTGTCAAGGTAAGCCTGAGTATGGAGGATATTGAACCTGTAGAATACTCCTATTTGGAATTCTACGAGTACTACAAGACCATAAATTCAACGTCATTAAATGTTGATGTGATCACATTGCCAAAAGGTTGCATGTCCTCATCCAATGCACTGAACTGAAACCCGCTCGTAAGCCACTGACAAAGTACCTGGAAACCAACGGCATACCACTCACCATACAGTATGTTTTGGCTCCACTCACAGACCACAGGCATACGATAATGGAACTCATCTTCCAATTTATAACCAAATCTGTCTTGAATAGATAGGCTTAGTTTTTCCTCTCAAAGTTTCTTAACACTTTAAATTATATCCCGTCAATCTAATAAGTTTCACTGCAGAAACATCAGAGAACATCTTTTCGCCCTTATGTTGAAAGCTTTTCCCCTCTTTTCTCATATTCTTTCTTTTTTTTTCAGGTCTTCTAGTTTTCCAACAGATAACAGATAATCTAAACAAACCAAACCAAACCAACGACTACCATGCGAATACCAATCAACAAGAATTACCATGATCAGAAATGAAATGAAATGTATTAAGGAGCATCAGCACCAAACAGGCTATATAGCTCCAGAATACATTAAAATAATAAAAAAAAAATAAAACAATAAAACACCTATCAATATCACATAAAGGTCACATAGTGACAACAAAAAAAGACGATAAAAACCATATCACAGAAAAAGTCATTTAATGACTACCAAAAAAACACTAAAAACAATATCACAGGTAATACACCACATAGTGGTATTAAAAACAAACAAAATATTTAAAACAAACAATTTAAAATAAAGACCTGCTTGTTTTAAAAAAGCCACAACCTTCTCATAAAGAGAAGGTTGTGCAAAAAGCTGAAATAAAGAAACAGCATTGTAGTGCTGTGATCTTATATGTTTGAGATGCTTACACTCAATCAGAATGTGTTTCACTGTCAAGCAGATCTGGCAGTGCTCACAGACTGGTTGAGGCTCTCGCTTGAGCAAATAACAGTTGGTGAGGTGAGTATGTCCAAGACGAGAGCGACACAAAACAACTTCATTTCTCCTGTTGGCACAATACGAGGAGGGCCAGTCTCCTAGGAGAGGCTTAATGGCATGAAGCTTGTTAGTGTCTGCAGCATCCCATCTTTGCTGCCATCGATGTTGAATAAATGACCTTATCACCGATTTAAAATCGGTGAAAGGCAAAGAAAAGGGGGAAACAGGCAGTGACAAAGCAGCCTTAGCCGCCGCATCTGCCATGTCATTTCCCTGTATATCCA